GTGTTGAAAGAGTCTATCTTTGTTGGCTCATAAGCATTCTTTCTAAACTATTTATATAAATAAAGTATAAAAATATGGGATAAAATGTAAGTATTTTCCAGGACTTTGCAGTTACCATGTATTTTTGGGGTTACCCCTTGCAACAGGATGGTTTATTTAAATCAGACCTGTGAGATACTAAAAAATAATCTAAAGTTAGACATATCCCACGAGAATTTTCAGACAATTTACGTTTCTACTGTAACTTTGGTCTTGATGACCCTAAACTAAAAATTAACCTCCTTAAAAATTCCCAACATATAACACTTCATATTACTATGTATTTAAACAATATAAAGACACGCCTTTGAATCCCCCTCCCCCAATGCCGAAAGTAATCCCCTACTAATACAGTTTGCGATAATATGCCTTTCATCTGTAAAGTTGTTGGTGTATGTAAACAAATACCATTTTTGACATTTGATTCTTCTGTAGAATGAAATAGGTGAAGATAACAACTGTGACCGATCTTGAAAAAATCTACAAACAATACAAATCTGTGAACAGGGCATAAAAATGGACCCCAGTAATTCCAGAGGTACGTGGGATCAATTGCCTATGAGAAATAAGCATCCCCTGTTGACCAGTCACACCCGCCGTGAGCCCTGTATTGATCAGGTACACGGAACATTCCGTAGAACCGCAAAAACATTCTTTTGTGAATGCAACAATGAATGGCAGATCCCCTGATTAGGGCAGATACAAAATACAAACCCGTCTTAAAGGTCAAATGACTGAGAAAAATTCATCTCTTCTTATTTAGGTTACCTGAGTTATTCAATTGATGCATTGCTATCTGTTTTTGTTCGTCGTCTTCCCACGTCTATCTTTCGTCGTGCATTTTTGACTTTTCCAAAATCACTGACCAATTTCATCCAAACTTGCCATAAAGCATTCTTGAATGTTGTTAAATAAGGATTTAAATTTGTTCAAATGAAGAGCCAGACCCTTTTCAAAGGGAAATGATTAAAATTAGTGCAAATATTAGGGTGTCGACGAGGAACCTCTGAGCCAGAAATGTACAGAATGAAATGTAAATTCCATTTAAACAAAACAAATTATGAACATAGCCAAACCGGACCTTTGAAAACAGAGTTGGGATCAGGTGCCTTGGAAGAGTAAGCATCTCATGCCAACGGGTCACACCCGCCGTGCACTCCTTGTCATGATCGGGTAAACGGAAAAAAATCTGTGGACAGTTCTGTGTGAAAATAATGGTATAACCAATTGTTTGAAAGACGTCATTAATATTCAACAACAGACCGTATTTGCAAACAAGGAAATTGTATCGACCATAGATTTTGCGTAATGTTAATTTAAACGAGATCGATGACATCCTTATATCATCAACTTCTTTGTCAACAGACTGCCCCGCTTTAGAAATTGTCCGTACTTGGAACATGCTCTTCTGGGAGACATAAACTCCATATGCAGGTGATAAAATTGAGTAAAGTTGTAGATTAGATGTTGATCATTCCTGCAATTAAAAGAAAAACGCATGTTTTGTACATGTAAGTATTTTTTGTCGCAAATTTCGCATGGAGTCATCCTTTGGAGTAAATTACTGGCATTTGCGCAAGATTCTGTAGGATTATTATTATTATTATTATTTTTTATATAACCCGACTAGAAATCACTTCCATTACTCAGACATTTTGAAAAAATGTTTAGAAATCATCAGGCAATAATAATGAATATTTTGGTATGCCGTATTACGAAGAGATGCAAAAAACAGATATTCGAAGAACGTGTCGACGGACCTTAATATAATGCATAACGAAGATCGCATATAGTTTGACAATTATAATAATCCTGTTTTCAAATAGAAGACTTTTCCTAAACATTTTTATGTAAGAATTAGATAGCTAGATCTCCATTGTGACAACATTCCTGCTCTGGGCCAGATTTGAACGACTCTGATTCTATATTACAAGATATGAAACAATTTGTAGCCTTGGGGTGCTTAGGAAGAAAGCGTTTTATCAAATTTTCAAAACATTTTTTTGGTAAAACTCTTTCTGCAGCAACATCCCTGCTCCCGCGTCTTTAAATTGAATAATAATAATAATAATAATGATAAAAAGAAAATAAAAAATAAATCCGCAATATATAATCATAATTGCATTAATTTTACAATAAATAAATCCATCATTACAGCTTGTCAAAAGTCTCTACATGTAAATTTATAGTATCTGAAAGGAAATTTATGTAACTAACCCCCCCCCCCCCCCCGAAAAAAAAATAATAATAAAAAGAAATTAAAAAAAATAAGGGGGAAAATTGTAAAACCTGAGAAATTAACTGGGAATTTAAAATAAACTCAAAGGCCTTTCATGTATACAAGAAAAGGTAACATCTATTTTGAAATAGTTTAAAGTCATCAATTTTCGACAAATCAAGTATTTTTCTTTTCAATTAAAGGTCCAATTTTCCTCTTTTTATGAGAAATTTAATTAGGTAATTTATCTGCATCGCGAAAATTGGATGGAACTTGTGTTTTCACTCATGCTCGTCTGTCAAAAATTTTCAAGTGAATTGATGAGGATATAGAAAAAGATGTACTAATATAAATCGGAAGAATCGGTTCAGTTTTCGAACAACTGGGGCTAGATATAAGAATACTGGAGTTTAATCCCCCCCCCCCCAATAAGCCGTTCAGAATACATCATAGACATCGTAAACAGTTCCATGTTTTTGTGTGTTGCCCTTAAAACGAAAGACAGAAGGCGAAGAATAGCTTAGAGAGAGAGAGAGAGAGAGAGAGAGAGAGAGAGAGAGAGAGAGAGAGAGAAGAAAAGTTCATGAATAAATCATGGCCCTCGGGGTCAGGGTTGAATCATTAGAAAGGTTCTAAGTCTTTTAAAATCAAGGTTCATGCATGTTTTGCTTTTGGTTTTCCTCTCAATGAGTCTTTTGTCGAAAAGAGCAGTGTGACCAAGGTGAAGTACTCTTTTATCATTTTTGATGAAATCAGAATATCAATCCTTGTTACATATGTCAGTTTCCGGTTTACATTATTGTGACTGCTTAACCAAACAAAATAATTACAAACAAATTGGAGTGATTTATCGTTGTATCTTAGCTACAACTACTATGGATTATTATCCTTCTCTTCTCACAGAGCAGAGATCCAATTAACGACCTTATAATCTGAATGGTTGACCTTTTTTACTCTCATGAAATACGCGGTAGAGTCTATAACATAACCCAGTCACGGTTTCCGGGAAAATTATTTCCGGTATGGTTTTCAAACGTACAATTTGCTTTAACACCGAACCCGATTGTATTTTTCGTGACATTGAGGCGGGAAATCCAAGTAAGGAAAAGTTCGAGGTATTGAATGCCGTTATCCTTTCATCTCAGCAACTGTATGAAATGGGTGAAGAAACAAGGTAAGAATGTTGTATGAAGATAATTATGATATAGTGAATATGCGGTATTCAAGAAATTCTCAACACCTGGATAAAGTTTTGTAAAGATATAATCACTGATAATACCCGGATTCAATGAGAGAGGGTGCCAAAGGATTATATTCTGTAGTGGCCAGTATCTGCCCCCAAAATAAAACTTTGATGGAGAAATCTTTAATTATGTTCTAAACCAGGTGGATATTTGCAGACTTCAAAGCATTAATTAAATATTTTTATCAACTATGACATCATTAGTTAGATATGACGTCAATAAAATGACGTAAATTCCAAATTGCAATGATTTTGAGAGAAAATAGTGTATTTTACGTCGGTATTTTGATTGGAAATTATCGAGCGCAGGTCTGCTCAGACTAGATCTTTTGATATAATGTGTAGAATGATAATATCAATGACATATGTGAATATGGTACCTGAGCAAGCTTGCGCTCTATAAATACTATAGTCAAATTTGAACAAACTCTGTGCATTTTGGCCTCTATTTTAAAAATAAGGGAAATCCAAATAGTTTGTGATGTCACAGAGACAAGAAAAGCCAACTAATTTTTCCAATTTCATAATATATTGTCTTAATTTGGATTATTTTATACAATATATGCACTTTTGCTCATTTCAAGAGATTTTCAAAATTTGACTATTATGGGGGCCGTAATACGCCCTTACCGTATATAGTTCTTTAGTCGAGTGTTAACAGTTGTTTTTTTTATTATTTTTTTTTTCTTATCCATAGTGACAGTTGGAAAGATCTGTTCGATGGAAAATCAACATCACTATCTGGGTATGTGACATTTTCTACAAAATTGGACAAGTTGTTACAGGAGTATGATTATGCAACTTCCTCTAGGTTCCCTGTTTAAAAAGTTCCAAACAATTTGGAAAGGATGTTGGTAAGGTCTTGATGCGATATTTTATTTTTAAATGCAACTTTAGCAAAATAATTTCTTGAATCTTCTCATTATTGTAACCATTTTAAGCTCACCTGAACCATAGACTCATGGTGTCGGGTGGTTACATTTTGATTCCGTGTTTGACCTGCATGGTTACGACCTATTAAGTGGTTTTGACCTACTCACAGGTAAGTACATGGGTAGCTGTATATTGATAACATAATAGCTTTTAAATTAATAATTAAAATATGCATTGTCGATAAAAAAAAAATCCTATGTAGACAAAAACAAAATGTGAAACTGTTGCAAGTGTTAATTAATTGCTTCAGAACAAAACCACTTGTGTCGAACATGGATTTATGTCGAAACCACGCGGGTCGAACAAGTAATAGGAAGGTAACCATCCCCATTCTAGGCTCACATGAGCTTTTGTGATTGAAATTTGTCCATTGTCTGTGTTGTTGGTGTTTTGGGTGTTGTAAACATTTTAAAACTTCTCAACTTATTCTCCAGAAAAGTTGAGAAGTTGAACTTAGAAACTTTTTTATGTATTTGTTCAAAGTAACCCCCCCCCCCCTTTATCAGATTCACATTTGTTAATACCAATTTACACTGAAAATTCTTTTGCAATTACTGTAGACGTAGGAGAGATTGATAAATCCCATATCAGATTTGTGGACACACAGGAAAATGCTGAACCCCATATAGAATATGATGCTATCCCTTTCATTATTATGGGCAAAAAAATCTTGGAATGTCACCAGGGATATGACAGAGACAAACGAAACAACCAAAAGAAACAAAGCAAAGCAAGAGAAGATGTAAGTATGCATTATTTATTCTACTTCTAATAAACTAATAATGAGGCAAAGATGAGGACTGAGAAGGATAACCCACTGTCTAGGGTTTCACATTACATTTTATGAGAACTAGACCAGTTGGGCTACGATATATCCATTCTCTGGGGAACAACATAACCCAGTCACTGTTCAACATAACCCAGTCACTGAACAACATAACCCAGTCACTGTTTAACATAACCAGTCACTGTTTAACATAACCCAGTCACTGAGGAACATAACCCAGTCACTATACAACATAACCCAGTCACTGTTTAATATAACCCAGTCACTGTTCAACATAACCCAGTCACTGAACAACATAACCCAGTCACTGAACATCATAACCATGTCACTGAGGAACATACTCAGTCACAGAGAAACATTACTAAGTCACCGAACATCATAACCAATTCACAAAGGAACATATCCAGTCACAGAGAAACATAACTAAGTCACTGAACAAAATAACCAAGTCACCGAACAACATTACCCAGTCACTGTTTAACATAACCCAGTCACTGTTCAACCTAACCCAGTCACTGTACAACATAACCAAGTCACTAAACAACATAACCAAGTCACTAAACAACATAACCCAGTCACTAAACAACATAACCCAGTCACTGTTTAACATAACCCAGTCACTGAGGAACATAACCCAGTCACTGAACAAAATAACCCAGTCACTGTTTAACATAACCCAGTCACTGTTCAACATAACCCAGTCACTGAACAACATAACCCAGTCACCGAGGATCATAACCCAGTCACTGTTCAACATAACCCAGTCACTGAGGAACATAACCCAGTCACTGTTCAACATAACACACTCACTGAACAACATAACCCAGTCACTGTTCAACATAACTCAGTCACTGTTTAACATAACCCAGTCACTGTTTAACATAACCCAGTCACTGTTCAACATAACCCAGTCACTGTTTAACATACCCCAGTCACTGTTCAACATAACCCAGTCACTGAACAACATAACCCAGTCACTGTTTAACATAACCTCGTCACTGTTCAACATAACCCAGTCACTGAACAACATAACCCAGTCACTGTTTAACATAACCCAGTCACTGTTCAACATAACCCAGTCACTGAGGAACATAACACAGTCACTGTTTAACATAACCCAGTCACTGTTCAACATACCCCAGTCACTGTTCAACATAACCCAGTCACTGAACAACATAACCCAGTCACTGTTTAACATAACCCAGTCACTGAGGAACATAACCCAGTCACTGAGGAACATAACCCAGTCACTGTTTAACATAACCCAGTCACTGTTCAACATACCCCAGTCACTGTTCAACATACCCCAGTCACTGAACAACATAACCCAGTCACTGTTTAACATAACCCAGTCACTGAGGAACATAACACAGTCACTGTTCAACATACTCCAGTCACTGTTCAACATACCCCAGTCACTGTTCAACATAACCCAGTCACTTTTTAACATAACCCAGTCACTGTTTAACATAACCCAGTCACTGTTTAATATAACCCAGTCACTGTTTAACATAACCCAGTCACTGTTCAACATACCCCAGTCACTGTTTAACATAACCCAGTCACTGAGGAACATAACCCAGTCACTGAACAACATAACCCAGTCACTGTTTAACATAACCCAGTCACTGTTCAACATAACCCAGTCACTGTTCAACATAACCAAGTCAGTCACTGAACAACATAACCCAGTCACTGTTTAACATAAGGCAATCACTGTTTAACATAACCCAGTCACTGAGGATCATAACCCAGTCACTGAACAACATAACCCAGTCACTGAACAACATAACCCAGTCACTGTTTAACTGTTTAACATAACCCAGTCACTGTTTAACATAACCCAGTCAATGAGGATCATAACCCAGTTACTGTTTAACATAACCCAGTCACTGAACCTTTATCTCAGCTTAGCTCTTTTTTTTGTAGTCTGACCACACATATAGAAGAAAGCGTAGATTGGTGCAGAACAGCAAAAAGAAAGCTTGTCCTGTTCGAATAAAGATTCGTCATGTTGTGAAGTTTTCAAGCTATTTGGTATTAATTTGTATTATAGACTCACTAAAAATTGTATCAATAAATGTAATATGTAAATATGTTCAGTGTTTATGTGTTGATGTACGTTTTGCTGTATAATATTTTAAATGAATACAAGACACAATTTACTTTTATATAATTTAAAGCTTTCAAGTAAAGAAAACACACCTCATCATCAAAGGAAACTGGTTAAGAATCTTAAAGAAGACCTGAAAAATTCACAAATAGAGAAAATTGAACATCGTTTTTATGTACAGTTTCCTGATGTAAAAGATCATAGAAACCATCTGAAAGGAGAGGTAAATAAAGAAAATTATTAATGGTATTACTATTATTTATACTACACTGTCTTATGTCAAGACCTTAACTGATGCCTTACAATTAAACTACTTTTTATGGAATTAAAGATTATGGGGCATATTTTTAGCTCTACTGGTCAGGGACCAGAAGAGCTTATGCGATAGTAAGGTGTCCGTCGTCCGTCCGTCTGTCTGTAAACAATTTTTCAAATTGATACTCCTCCTACAGTTTTGGTCTGATTTCAGTATAACTTGGCACACAAGTAGACTTCACTAAGATACAAAATTTAGTGCATCGGTTTTTAATTTCGATGAACGATGTTGCCATGGTTACTAAAAATAGAAATTTCTGTGACATTCATTCAAAACGCTACTCCTCCTACAGTTTTGGTCTGATTACAATATAACTTGGCACACAAGTAGACTACACTACGATACATAATTTAGAGCATCGGTTTTTGATTTCAATGAACGGTGTTGCCATGGTTACTAAAAATAGAAATTTCTGTGAAATTCCTTTAAAATGCTACTCCTCCTACAGTTTTGGTCTGATTTTAATATAACTTTGCACACAAGTAGACTTCACTTTGATAAATAATTTAGTACATCGTTTTTTGATTTCGAAGAACAGTGTTGCCATGGTTACTAAAAATAGAAATTTCTGTGAAATTACTTTTAATTAAAACACTACTCCTGCTACAGTTTTAGTCTGCTTTTAATATAATTTGGTGTACAAGAAGACTATACTGAGATACAAAATTTAATGCATCGGTTTTTGATTTCGATGAACAGTGTTGCCATGGTTACTAAAAAAAATTTTAAAATTTTTAAAATGTTACTCCTCCTACAGTTTTGGTCTGATTTCAATCTAATTTGGCAAACAATTGGAATACACTACGATACATTATATGCATTTCGGTTTTTGATGTGGTTAATAAAAATAGAAATTTCTGTGAAATACTTTCAAAATGCTACTCCTCCTACAGTTTTCGTTTGATTTCAATATAACTTGGCACAGAAGTAGACTACATTAAGATACATAAGGGTGAATTCAAAAAAAATGACCAAACGCATATTTATCAACCCACACTAAAAATACAGGCAATGAAAATAGATTTCTATGTCTCAGCATATGTCTTTAGATAGTGTCTAAATACCTGCCAAATATCTCGTTGATATCTCAATTAACAAAAAAGTTATGACCAGAAATGATGCTAAAATTGTCAGGAGTGCAACACCTTTTTGTGACATTTTGAAATTTCAATATTTTTTGGAGATTTGTGAAATAAATAATAATGCTTTATGTTGAAAATAAAGACTTTCCTGATAATATTCAAAGTATTGAGCTTTAAATGTGGGCTGTAGTAACTTTTGTTTAATCAAGTTGTTGTCATGGCTGATGTTTAAAAAAATGTCATACCATGTCAGGAGTGCAACAGAAAAAATGTAGTGTTGCCAAAAAAACATCAATTGTAAAATTCTGAAGAAAATTAAGACAAAAAAGAATTTTTGAAGTGTAAAACAATAACTGATAGACAGTTTAAAACTTAAAAATGTTATATAAATCACAAGCAGCATTAATTAGAGTCAAGTATATGTGCATACCCAATAATGTCAGGAGTGCAACATTTGATGTTTTGCTCCCAAGCATGAAAAATCTATTATCTTTATATGATTTTCTGATTTTTATTTTGGAAAAGAAAGACACAAAGAACATTTTTACTAAATAGATTTATCAATTACAGGATCTGTCTGTGCTTCAGATCAATATTTCTATGGTCAGGAGTGCAACACATTTTTTTAAAGATTCAAGTTGTGTGACAAAAACACTTCTATTCATGCTTAGACGTATTCATTAATTAATAATGATCTTTTTGTATAATTTAATACTAAATTATTGACAGTTTTATTATTAAAATCCTTCCTTTTTCAATTTTATCAATTCAGATTTGTTTTTATCTTTTTTGTGATTTTTTTAATGAATGTTAAAAATAAACACACTAAAACATTGTCATAAAATTCAAGTAATTCCTCCTCACCTTCACTGAAACAACAGAACAAGTTCTTATGTAATTTTCACTTCACAATTCTACTTTAAAGGTCCCAATACTTTTGGTCAGGAGTGCAACAAATATGTTAGAATTATAAATCATCCAATAAGAATAAAAAGAAAGAAAAATGATGAGTAGAATTTTTCTGGTGGGTTACTGTGTTTGTCCTCTAAAGGAAAATATGCTATAAAATATATTTTATCTTCTAAATATACATTTAAGCTAGTTTTTTGGCATAAATAGAGAATAATTCCAAATAAAATATGAATTTCAAATACTTTCATCCGTTTTGATTATGAAGTACTGGACTATAAATATTGCACAATTTCATTACCACTTCATGTTGCCAACACTTTATGAATTTTTGTGTTCTACTATTTTAATTTTAAATTTTACTGCAGTCAGGAGTGCAACAAAACTGCTTTATAATTACCAATGCTTTTTAATTATCTTTACTAAAAATGAGTTGAAAAAAAATGTTTGATACTATTTGATGTTCAAAACACTATGTCTATCAACAAATTACAGAAATTTTCTAGTCAATTCAGGGAATAGTTTTCATCATTTCACATATAGTTTTATATACAATTTATGTATATTACACTTTGCAAATAATCATGTGTTAAGGTCTTCAAAATATGAAAAACCTGCCGTAAACGATCAAAAATATCAAAACGACAAATTAATTTACAAAGTAAGAATGGGTTATTGTGTGTAATAATTTTTAAAACAATGTTAAATAAAATACATATCAGATGTCAGGAGTGCAACACAATAATGTAACATAGGGTCACTTCAAAATCTAGTATTTTTTGTAAGAGAACTTGTATATAAAAATTCTTTTTTGGCTTAGATTTAAAGAATTGGTTTGAACGGACAAAAAAGTGAAATTTGGGGAATTTTATTGCTTCATATTTTTTTCATATTAAAACTTTTCAAACCAGAATTGAAAAAATAATGTAAAATAACAATCAAAAAGCCAATTTTTTGTCACACATACAAGAGAAGATACTAAATCAAGGTCTAGATTTGATCATTTATACCCCTTTTACCATTTTGAAGCATAAAAAACTATAATTTCTTGTGATTATGTATTTTAGAAAGTCTTTTAACGTGTAATGATATTTTCTTTTTTCAAAAGAAATTTTACTAATAAAAATTCTGAAACTTTTTAATCCAATTGTCTATTCTATTGCTACTACAGGATTTTAAACTAGAATGCATGTGCAATATGATGATATAAGTGAAAAATATGTTAGAAGTAGCTGAATTTTTCCAAAAAAATTCAGTTTGGTGGTCATTTTTTTTTTAATTCACCCATAATTCTATTTATTAATGCATGTTGCAAATCCAAGTGCTACTTTGTTATACGTACAGACCAGTAGAGCTACAGTCTCATCAGAGACTTCTGGTTATTTTAAATTTTATCCTTGCCAATAACTTTTCAACAATAATTGCTAGGGCTTTCATATTTCACATGTGTATTTCTTGGAGCAAGTCCTTTCTTGGGGTTCAAACAAATTAGACATCTTGGGATTTGACATGCTTTCTGAAAAATATTTACCCATCTTTAATCATGTTCATAACTTTCGCACAGTTGATCCGGTCCTAGGACTTTCATATTTTACATATGTATTCCATGTGACCAGACCTTTCTTTTGGTACCAAAGTTTTTTTACATTCTCACCTTGACCTTGGAATTTTAGTCTACTTGTGAAAAACTTTAACCTTTACCATAACATATGAATTATTGGTGCTAGATCTTTCATATAGCATTTATCTTTTCCTTGCAGCAAAACATTTTTTTCTGATACCAATATATTTTATCTGATGATCTTTACCTTGGAATTTTGACCTACTTTTGAAAAACTTTAACCTTGGCCAAAATTTTTGAATGGTTGCTGTTAAGACTTTCTTATTTCACATGTGCATTCCTTGTGACAAGGTATTCCTTGTGACAAGACCTTTTTTTGCATACAAACATTTTTGACCTTTCAACCTTCATCATTGTTTCACAATGCACATCTTGTTTGGTTTTATGTTCTACTGGTCAGAGACCAGAAGAGCTTATGCGTTAGTAAGGTGTCCATCATCCATCCATCTGTCTTTCTAGTTGTCTGTCTGTCCCTCTGTCTGTAAACAATTTTCAAAAAGCTACTCCTCCTACAGGTTTGGTCTGATTTCAACATAACTTGGCACACAACTAGACTACATGAAGATACTTAACTCAGTGCATTAGACTCAGTTTTGATGAATGTTTTTGCTATAGTTACTAAAAATAGAAATTCCTGTGAAATTCCTTTAAAATGCTACTCTGGGGATAGTTTCGATCTGATATCAATATTACTTGGCACACAAGTAGAATTCGCTAGGATACATAATTCTGTTTGTCGTTTTTTTGTTTTATTTTGGTGAAGTGTAGCCATGGTTACTAAAAATAAAATTTCTGTGAAATACATTCAAAATGCTACTCCTCCTATATTTTTGCTATAATTTAAATGTAACTTAGCATGCAAATAGACTACTTTGAGATACATAATTGTCTTTATCAGTTTTTTTTTTGGCTTTTGATGATTGATGTTGCCATGGTTACTGACATCAAAATTTTGTATAAATCTTTTAAAAGGTCACTCTTCCTACAGTTTTAGTCTGATTGCAATAAATCTAAATCAAGGATCATTACTCTATTGCTGTTGCAAAGTTTCAAGTCCAAGTGCTACTTTTCTCTTTCTTTAAAAAAATTGCTATAAGTACAAACCAGTAGAGCTACAGTATCATCAGAAACTTATGTTGTTTTTTTTTTTATTTATTTGTGAATATTTTAAGAATAGCCTTTATACTTTTTTTTATAATTATACATATGTTAAACAGGCATCCAGTATCCTGATACGGAGACTAAAATACCGGTATTTGGGTACATAGCTATAAATTCCAGAAAATTATTCATTTATTTGTTCAATCTTTCAAATTATAATTATTAAAATTTTAAATTATAATTACAGGAAGTGTAAAAAATGTTGAAAAGGGTAAAAGAAAGGCATTCTAGCATCCAAAATTGCTTGATATTATGTCAATAAAAAAATGAAAAAAGTGAAGTTATGTTTTTCAAGCATATTTTTCGGAAAAATTATGAATATTCATTTAAAATCATTGTAAAAATTGCTTGTAAAAATATCATGATATTATCGTGATATCTTGGGGGGAAATCGTGATATATTGCGATACGAAATTTTTGGCGATACCCATCCCTACACCTGACCCATTAAATATTCCAATGAGCATTTCTGATGAAACAAATTCTTCTGGTGTCCATCATACTATCTTTAAACTATTTACATTATAAAAATAAAACATGTTATGATGTTTTAGGGTAACACATTAAATTGATATCCTGTGAACTGATGCAAAGCTGAGGTCATCAATGGTTTTCAAGGGATAACAATTTCACATGTTACCCTAGAAACTTATTATTAGCTCACCTGAGCTCAAGTGAGCTCTTCTGATCACCCGTTGTCCGTCTGTTAATTTTTCACATTTTCATCTTCTTCTCAAGAACCACTGGGCCAATTTTAACCAAAGTTGGTACAAAGCATCCTTTGGTGAAGGGGAAATTAAATTGTTAAAATAAGGGGCAAACCCCCTTACAATGGGAGATAATCAAGAAAAGGCAAAAATAGGGTGGGGTCATTAAAAAATCTTCTTCTTAAGAACCACTGGGCCAGAAAAGCTTAAACTCATGTGGAATCATGCTGGAGTAGTGTAGATTCTAAATTATTAAAATCATGAACCCCCTAGGATAGAGTGGGGCCACAATAGGAATCTAATTTTTACATTGAAATATATATGAAAAAATCCTTGGAGATCTCCTTTTCAAGAACCATTGGGCCAGATATGCTGAAATTTATGTGGAAGCATCCTGGAGTAGTGAAGATTACAAATTGTTAAAATCATACTCCTGGGGGTAGGGTGAGCCATAATAGGTATAACATTGGGGAAAGTCTGGTGAAGAACAGCAGGGCCAAAGTTACTCATGTGAGTGTTGTGGCCCATGGGCCTCTAGTTTTTTATAATGTAAATAGTTTAAAGATAGCATGATGGACACCAGGCAGTAATGGTTTTCAAGGGATAACCTTAAAAATGTAAATATTTTCCTTTGTTATACCAAATCTATTTAGAATAAAGCATTTTAAAAAAAGAACCCACAGTAAACCGAATGGGCATACATTCTGCCCAATTTTGCACTGTTACCCTTCGTCATGCAATGTCATCATTGCTATGTAATGTTACGTGGAGGGCATACTTTACACATGCGGTAGGGTAGCAGTACTTTTTAACAAATGTTTTTAAAACAATCAAATTTGACTTAACATAAAAGTATAACAATAAGGTTTGTCTATATTGTTCATGAAAAATTAACATTTTTTGTTTATAGACTGAACAGTCCATGAAACTGGTTAACACTTTGTGCGAATGGCCAAGGATGGATCTTCCCATAAACAAGGGAACAGGAAACATACAAGGCTACAATATAGCAACTCTGGTAATTTTTAGTATCTGTTGCATGCATGGTTATCTAACAGCCCTGGGTTAAGAATTTAATTCTGTCTTATTTATCACTCAATTTTACTGTTTATTTCACACAATCATATGGTGTGATCTGACTTTCTGATCAGTTTTCTGAATCCATATCAACACTTTCTGAAACTGACTCAATCTTCAGGTCAAGTTAGAGAAATTTATTAAGAATTGATGTTTAGATATATAAACAGCATGATATGTATATAAAAGCTCAACAATGAAGATAAGAGTTAAAAAGGGGATAGTATAGCCTGCTCTAAGTGATTAGTAATAGTTCTATTACACTACCAGTCCTGTTTATGGCAGAGAGATTTTCAGGAGAAAAATTTCCTATAATTATTTTAAAATTTTAACAGTTTGCAAAAGACATCAAAACAAAGCTGAAGGAAATATTGGAATTAGAAGAGGGTGATAAGAGGTAAATAATAAACATTGAAAGCAGCCTATTTACTTTTAAATTGTCTGCATTAAATTTATGGGCAATAAAATGAGATTCCATTCATTGGAAATTAAAGAAATTTTATGGTATGTCTTTCATAGTTTAACACTGTTTCATGCACTTTGCTTCACAAGATGTACTGTAACAAGTGGTTAAAATTAAATTAACTTGATCGAGTGTTATAATATTCCTTTTACAGGTGTTATGAACCACACTGGAGACATCTGCGATGGATTGACAGGAATGACTTGACTGACCATAATGTGATGAATAACTCTGTGAAAGGAATGGAAGAAAGAAATAAACTTTTTCATAAAGAGATAACATCCATATGTACTCTCTCTAGATTTTAATGTATAAGCATACAATGTATTTTACAAGGCTAGTCCTGCATATTCTTGCTCATGTGCAGGTGTTGTTATGGATACTGATTTATAACATGATTGTTTTCTTTTTTATTGAACAGAGTCTTTCTCTACTCATGATATATATATATATATATATATATATATATATATATATATATATATATATATATATATACAGTTGAACTTCGGTATCTCGAATCTTATGGATATGTCGAAGTGATTTGGAAGTCCCAAGCACTTGATATTTTAAGTATTTTTACCCCCAATATCTCGAACCCTCAGATATCTCGAAGTTTATTCTCGGTCCCATTGAGTTGGAGATAATGAGGTTTGACTGTATATATATATGCGTGTGGGTGTGTATGTGTGTGTGTTAGAGAAGGAAACAAGTTTATTTGCCTATTTTTTTCCCTTCCAATAGAGATGGGCTGAAATGAGTGTTCTTGTTTTAGAAGAATTTGGCTTGTTTAAACCAAAAACAATCATGTAAGTTTATACCTCAATTTAATTTGCTATTCTATATTATATAGCTATATAAACTTACCATGGAAGATGAATCTTAACCTGTCACCTTTAGAGCTTTGTGAATATTTAACTCTTGGAGTGATGTAAATTGTCATCAAGACTTCATATAAGTCCGACTAAGATTTATAAATATATTTCTAGACATACATCATCAGTACATCTGCTTACTAAGGATTGATTTCAAGAGGTAGACATAATGTACCCATTAAAGAATATTGTATGTACTGTAAATAATTTTTTTTTTGGTGATAACTTTATTTTTGCATATTAGCAAGACTGTTTGTAGGGGAAAATTTCATTCACACATAATATTCCTCTTATAAAGATTATATAGAGCAGATACCAAAAGTTGTGAAAATTTTGTTTTGCTTGTAAATATCAAATAAAAGAAGCACACATTTTGCACCAAGTTAATTCCACTCCCCCTTTTCAACAAATTAAAGACAACTAAGTCATGTTCAGCATTCTTCATTGTACTTTTTTAATAAAAAAAATTTGTCGATTTTAGTGGTCTCTTCAGTCCTCCAGGACATTACCTTAGTTTGAAAAACTGCAATAATGGAAAGCTTATGGCAACACTGGAAGATGAGTATGATATTTTTTTATTCATCCTTGTTGAAGAAAATGGAGAGGCATATTGTGTAATGTCAATCAGGAGTTATTTTTGTAACTAAATTGTTAACTTTTAAAGTAAACCATATGTCTCTTCATATCCATAATTTAATCATAATTCACATCTGATTTTTTCTTGATTTGATTGATCTCCATAGACAACTTTATTCTTAATTATTTTCATTCTCTTTTAGGACAGGACAGAGATTGAATGAAGGAGTTAGATACTTTAAGGATGTATTGCTTGTAGAAGCAAGAATCATTATCGCTTCTGTTGTCAAGAACATAACATATAGAGAAGCTGAAGAACTTCTCTATCCATTGAAATAACAAATTTATGTTCCGGTTGATTGAGTTTGCAAATTTGTTATATTGGAATATTTCGATTGTGATAGCATTGCAAAAGATGTTCTACATCAATTGCTATATGACATGTTGAACAATATTTGTTTGCAGATTCTTTACAGTTATTATATATCACCATCTGATGAAATATTGTTATAATGTAAAATGGACTCTGTCAGGGCTGATCAATTGTACTTGGTTACTCTAGATGAACTCATAAACTCTGATAATTGTGATTTCATTCAAATCAAATCCACACCAGACCCAGACTGTTTTATCATTAATTCTTACTAGAAACATTAGTTTAAATGTAGGAAGAATTTGATAAAATTTGATGTATTTGACTTTGAAAATATCTATTAAAGTTTTGTTTTTCTGACAAGTGAAATGAATTTCACATGCAGAATTCATACCATTGGATTTGGGTGTAATTTAAAAGGAACACTTGTGCAGCCATGCATTATTTCTTAAATAGTACCTGTAATACATTTGTATGGTCTAAATATTGTGTGGCCATTTTTTCCCCTTAGGATTAATTGATCTATGTTATTTTTATCTTTAAGTTCCCCAGTGACTAAACCCAATTTGTATAAAAATTGGGAGCAGAGCTCTAGAAAAAGGCTTAACATTAGTTTATGTTCCAAATAATGATTGTGTCAAAAAAATTATTTTCCTTACCACTTTTGTATATATGCCTTATATATGGAGACCAAATTATGCACATTAATTCATATTGAATGCTTGGGTTATGTTGTTCAGTGACTGGGTTATGTTGTTCAGTGACTGGGTTATGTTCCTCAGTGACTGGGTTATGTTAAACAGTGACTAGGTAATGTTGTTCAGTGACTGGGTTATGTTAAACAGTGACATGGTTATGTTGTTCAGTGAGTGGGTTATGATGTACAGTGACTGGGTTATGTTAAATAGTGAATGGGTTATGTTAAACAGTGACTGGGTTATGTTCCTCAGTGACTGGGTTATGTTAAACAGTGACTGGGTTATGTTAAACAGTAACTGGCTTATGTTAAACAGTGACTGGGTTATGTTGTTCAGTGACTGGGTTATATTAAACAGTGACTGGGTTATGTTGTATAGTGACTGGGTTATGTTCCTCAGTGACTGGGTTATGTTAAACAGTGACTGGGTTATGTTGTTCAGTGACTGGGTTATGTTAAACAGTGACTGGGTTATGTTAAACAGTGACTGGGTTATGTTGTTTAGTGACTGGGTTATGTTGTTTAGTGACTGGGTTATGTTAAACAGTGACTGGGTTATGTTGTTCAGTGACTGGGTTATGTTCCTCAGTGACTGGGTTATGTTAAACAGTGACTGGGTTATGTTCCTCAGTGACTGGGTTATGTTGTTCAGTGACTGGGTTATGTTGAACAGTGACTGGGTTATGTTAAACAGAGACTGGGTTATGTTGTTCTGTGACTGGGTTATGTTGAACAGTGACTGGGTTATGTTAAACAGTGACTGGGTTATGTTCCTCAGTGACTGGGTTATGTTCCTCAGTGACAGGGTTATGTTGTATAGTGACTGGGTTAAACAGTGACTGTGTTAAGTTGCTCAGTGACTGGGTAATCTTCTTAAAAAACTAAGTTATGTTTCTCAGTGACAGGGTTATGTTGTACAGTGACTGGGTTATGTTTCTCTCTGGGTTATGTTGTTGAGAGACTGGGTTATGTTGCTCGGTGACTGGGTAATGATTTTCAGTGACTGGGTTATGTTATTCAGGGACTGGGATTTGGTTCTCAGTAACTGGGTTATATTTTTCAGTGACTGGGTTATGATGTTGAGAGACTGGGTTATTTTGAACTGTGACTGGGTTAGGTTTCCCATTGACTGGGTTTTGTTGTACAGTGACTGGGTTATGTTGTTCAGTGACTGGGTTATGTTGTTTCATTTATTAATAAGCTCGCAATTGAGAAAGAAAAAGAGAAAGAAAAGCTAGAACAGTGCAGTTTTGAGGGATTCACTTGTAACATATTGAAGTGATTGTCAAAAAAAATTAAAATATAACAACCCATTTTTGACAGAAAGTTTTATAGTCAGTAAGTTTTTAATCATCTTTTACAGTGTATTTCAAAGCTGTAAAATAGGATTTAAATAAATTTAGAAAACCATGAATATCTACTAAATTATGTGTGTTCATTATCTCACAGTTGAACAGTGAATTGGTTATGATTGATTGGGTATAGTATGTTGAACAGTGACTAGGTTAGGTTTTCCAGTGACTGAGTAAAGTTTCACAGTGACTAGCTTATGTTGTTCAAAGACTAGATTATATTGGTTTGTAACTGGGAAATTTTTTTCTGTGACCTAATGGCTATAAACCAGGGTCATATTAAAGAATCATCACTTCTTGTAAAACTGCAAGTCAACAAGTTAGGGATTTTTGTTTTTTCACTGTACGTGATTGTCTTTATGGGCGGGATTCCTTTTACCCTCGGAAGATTAGCGTAAGAAATAATTAGTAAGAAATTCAAGTCTTTTCTGCTGTGCATACACACATGCTAACTAGGTCACTAGTTCTACCAGTGGCTAACAGGCCATGAAAACGCAATCTATTAATTTATCATGTTATAACTATTAAATACCCTAACCTTCGTGAAAGTCATTCATTCGCCTGAATGTCCTAATATTAAGACTCCGATTATGGCTATTGATCGTATTATTTGCCACACACCATAGTGTTTACAAAACTATATTGCATCGGGATCGAGTATGCGTTATATTACAAAAAACCATACCGGAAATAATTTTCCCGAAAACCGTGACTGGGTTATGTTATAGACTCTACCGAAATACGCAGAACCCCATACTATTTTATGTCGCGCAATATCTATTTTCAATTACATCTTAGGAGTAATTTTCCGAAGACTACAAAGGAAATGTGTATGTCAAATACGGAAGTTGGACTCATTGTGCAACGTTCACATTTCACGGTTGTTTTCCCAATAAACTGATTAACTTGCATTGCCGTTATAAAAATAATGTCAATGAAGTGCAAACGAGAGGTCACAAAATAAAAGAAACTTAAAAAAAACCCTTTTTAGAATAATAAATTGTAAAAGAGTGAATAATAATAATTATAAAAATAATTGATTTGCACATTTCTTTTCAATTTCTTTTCAACTGGTATGCTCATCCCGTGTAATTGATAGTATCCTGAAGTGTAGAGATAAATATTATAATAATTAAGCAAGTTTTGGGAAAGAGCAAATTTAATAAAACAAATTTTTACATATTAATTTAGCTTTAAAAGTTCTTATAAGGTTCAAATTCAGGATTGAGGAACAGCAGAATAATTTTCAATAAAGGTATACGTGTGTAAAAAGGTTAGATATCGTACTCACTAAAACCGGAAATAAAACTTAAGAATCTCGTGTTCCTTACATTTAGGTTAAACATTAAATACAAAGCAGGAAAAAAAGTGCTGCTTAAGCAGACAGTGACTGCACGTTTTCATCTTGATTAATGCTGTAAAAAATTCTTTTGTAAGAAAGATTAATTATAAAGGCGTCTAACAGAGACAGACCTGTTTTCTTCCTCTGAATGTGCGACAGTATTATCGAAAAGTTTCATATAAACGGAAGTGTAAAACGTTAAAATAAACATAGAATTTGAAAAAAGGAATTTATTGGTATGCGTAAAGAAGGTTCATGTAAGTTTATTATTTCACTTTAATTTTTTGTTTTAAAACCCATAGTAGAATATTTAAAAGAATAAAAGATTGCATGCGTCCAATTACAATAAACCGAATCATCTCTAAAAACTGTAGAAAAAAATATAAGCTGAAGATATTAAATTAAATTTTTGACCAGTAAAACACGGTAAAAAAGGTAAATAAAAAGAAAAGATCAGTGTTGTAATAGTAATTTAATAAAATATTTAAGAGAATGGGATGAACTGTTCAGTGTAGTGATAAAATTAAATAATATTCATAATATATAACGTACGACTTTTCAAAACTTTATATAACCATTCCCCACAATAAATTATAGTCCAGGCTTTTTGACATCATAGACGCTGCTTTTTCAATAGAAATGGAACTCGTTTATTTACCTTGTCATTGGGCATTTGCAAAACTAATTTGTTAAAAAAAAACAAACATTCTGATTGTACACACAAGCACTCCGAAGTTGATATTAAAAATATGCTTGGGTTTCTGATTGACAATAGCTATGTAGAATTTGGAGATCAAGTCTTCCAACAATCTATCGGAATCCCTATGAATACCAATTGCGCCCCGTTATTAGCAGACCTATTTTTATAATCATATGAAGCAAAATTTATTCAAAAAACCTTTAGATGAGAAGAAGAAAACACTTGCTGTGGCTTTCAACTCGACATTTAATATATCGACGACGTATCATTAATTAACATTAACTACTTCCATTCATATACATGTATGTCGACTCGATATATGCCAGCGAACTTGAAATAAAAGATACCACAGAATCTGACACATCTGCGTGCTTCATATTTGGATATTTTACTAGAAAAAGATGGTAACCTTACAACAAAACTTTATGAAAAACGTGATGACTTCAAGTTTTCTATCGTCAACTTCCCTGATTTATGTAGCAATACACCCTTATCACCAGCATATGGAGTTTAAGTCGCCCAGTTGATTAAAGAGCATTTAGAACAATATCTAAAACAAGGCAAGCTAAACAAGTAAATGAAACAAGGATATCAATAGTCTCATTTAAAGTCATTATATCGCAAGTTTTAAGGTCGAAACAATGACCTTGTCACAAATACAATCATCATTAAGTCGAATGCTGACTGAAGTTTTTCAATCTAATTGTTAAGGCTATATATGGCGTATCAGAGCTAAAAAATAAAAATACGAGATTAAGTGGAGATCAACATGAAATTTGCTTTTTACGTTCAAATTAAAATTTTCACCGATTTTGAACTTGAATATCCCCACGTTTCTATAGTTAAATTGACTTTAAACTGTGTCTCATATTTAAATGCGGAGTCGGTAAATAAATCGGTTATTGTTTTAAATCTCTGATATCTATGAAACGCGATTGATTTAAATTGTGTAATTTACAGGAAAGTCCTATCTTTCAATTGTATAAAGTAATAAAGTAAATAGAAAATCTGTTTAATCTTAGTCTAAGCTTATCAAAAATACGCCATATATGACTTTAAGCCATTATTTACATGTACACACTACATTGACGTATTTTTCCGTTTGCCCGATCATGACAGGAAGTATGCCCGATCGACAGGGGATGCTAACTCCTCCCTGGATCAAATAATGAAAATAATCATTATTTATTGAAAAGTCTAGATGTCGAATTTTAGGCCGCAGGAGGAGTTTTTTCCTCTCAAAAGATAACGAAAAGTGATCGATCTAAAAAAAAAAAATCCAATCTGTAAACAGTGCATAAAACACGGATTCCCGGAAATTCCAGAGGTGGGATCAGGTGCCTAGGAGGAGTAAGATCCCCTGTCGACCGGTCACACCCTTCGTGAACCATAAGTATTGATCAGGTAAACTGAATATTTCTTAGTAAAATATAGTATAAAAACAAAGACAGTAACAATTGGTATGAAAAAGCATCAGCCAAAATACGACCTATTAAGCATTATTTGCCTACAATGTCAATATAACGACCATAGAATTTAAGAACTGATGTCTTTAAACGAAGTTGTTGAAATCTCTGTAACATCAATTTATCTGTCAGTAGCCTGGTTCGGTTTAAAAATTGATCGTACCCAGAGCATGCTCTTGAGTATTGAATAAATTGTGGAGACGTAAACCCCATATTTAGGTAACATACATGTATTACTACATAAATAAAAGAAGTTGATGATGGAGAAGCTGAAGTCGTCTCGTTTGTCCTATAATGTATTTGTTAGTTGGCCCTCATCATTTATAGTCAATAAAACATCCAAATTTGAAATAGATGTGGCAGACTCTGTGTCTTTTATTTCGAATACACTAGGAAATATTAGTATTTAGTCGAAATATGAATCGAAATAACTATTGTTAATGGATAATTAATAATTATTCTCAACATATCTGAATGTCGAGTTGAAGACCACAGAAGGTGGTTTCTTCTCATGTAGAAGTTTTTGAATAAATTCTGCTTTATGATAATACAAAAACAGGTCGGCTAACAAGGGAGCACATTCATAAGAATAGTAGACTTATTATAAGTTAGAAAGTTTTTCAAAAGAGATTGATTTGATGACCCTATTTACCTTTCTAAAAAATGTAAGACAAATATATCGATCACTTAATAATACAAATATGTTTCTCATGACGTTAATTGAAGTTAGATGATGTCATTGTGTTTTTGTATAAGGGATTGTAAACTTAATTTACCTGTTACCTTTAGCATGAAATTATGTAAAACACTCATAAACTAATAATGGACGTTTTTATTACTTTGTTTTTGTCTTTCACACAACTTATTTGTAATTAAATGGATCAAGCGGAGATTGGTTAAGAACTTGACTTTTAACTACTGAGAAAAGCAATGACACGTTATGTACGTTTTGTCCCAAATTCATGGTTTTACCAAGCATTCTCAAACTATATTTGTTCTTCTCTCCTATCAATAACACAGCAGGGTACTGTAAATGATAAAAATAATTCAATCAGACAAAGAACAACCCCCACTTCTAGTCTATTTTAGTAAACATGCATTAATGGAAAATAAAATTTTGTATTTTTTAAAAAATCGGGATAATTCATTCATTATCTTCATCACAATTTGGCTGTCACATTGCTCCCACAACAGATTGGATATGCCCGGTACAGCACTATAGATGAAACCAAGTCTTAAAGATATTAAAAGTAGCTAACAGAGTCTATGTTTTGGTAAATCTGAAAGCCATTTTCTAGCAAGACGTTTTTTAAAAACTGTTGTTTAAGGTATAGTTATAACAACTTCTGTACAGATGTTATCTTAAATAAAAATCTCACGGCAAAATTAGCACTTAAATCTTTCTTTACAAGGTAGCCAACAACACTTTTGACAAATGTTGCCTTTTTAGCATGAAATTCTTAAAACAAGGATAAAATCTATAGCTCGTATCCTTGAACACTATAATTCATTTTGTAAAATACGAAATTATTTCAAATAGAGCAAGAGGCCAACGGGCTTCACCCGATACACCTTATTCTTGCTGTTTTCAAGATAATTATATCCGTCTTTATTCCCAAGAAAATTTTTGACCCAACTTCTGGCCCAATCCTACAGCTCTATAGCTCCAAGGGTCATGACACAATCAATTCTGAAACCCTACAGCATGGGAATGCTTTAATTTCAATATGACTAATATGGCCTCGTTATTCTAGAATAGACTTGAACATATTTTCCCTTATTTACATGCATTATGAAATTTTATCCCCAATTTTAGCTCACAGTTAGCCGGAGGTCCATACTTAAAAAAAATAATCAAAACAATCGGGAAACGTTTGTATATTTATAAGATTTAGTGTGGCCTTGTTACTTTTGACTTTAAAAAAAAATATATACATAATCTCATGTAAAACTTTGAATCTCTTTTACCCCCACACAGGAGCTGTGATTTGAAAAAAATGATTCTGCATAACTTAGGATGTTTACAAATCAATTTGAGTGGTCCACTGTTTCCTAAGAAGAAAATTTTTGAAAGATTTTTTTTCTATACATTCCCATGAAAAATGTTATCCCCTGTCTTTTGCCCCCCCCCCCCCATATTGATTCAAACAAACTTAAATCTTCACTACCAGGGATGCTTCCATAAAACATGACTCATCATGGTGTTGTTGTTTAGAACAACAAAAGATTTGAATAGATTTCCCCTATATATTCCCACATTAAACATTGTCTCCTATTGTGGTCCCCCTGTATTCCTGGAGGCCATAGTTTGAACAAACATGAAATTGAGGATGTTGCGTATTTTAGAATATGATGAATCACTGCCCTACTGTTCTTGAGATTTCCTATGTATAACTTTGTTCACCTATTGTGACCCAATCCTACCCTGGGAGGCCATGATTTGAACAAATCGAAATGTACATATCTTGGAAATATTCAATTAAATTTTGTGTTTTCTGATCCAAGATTTTAAAAAGATGACACATTTTTTAACTACATATTAATAATCTCCCCTCGAAAAATATTAAGGCCTTTCATTTGAACAAATATAAGTTCTCTTTACCCGATAATGCTTTTCGGCAAGATTGTTTGAGAAGTCCAAAAATAGGCAAGGTTTACATATGAACGGACGGACAAATAGACAGACAGACGGACTTAGAAACAGACGACCGCCGACAACAGGTTATCTGCAAAGCTCACAGCTCAGGGGAGCTAACAACATTATTTTGTAATATTATACAGGTTCATTATTTGAAATTCTATAATTAAAAGTTTTTTCTGCACATCATTTCAACTAAATTGTATGACAATTGACAAACTAGATAACTTCAGCTTTGCCATCATCAACATTCTTTATTTGTGTCGTAAGCATATGACACCTGAACATTGTATATGGATTTACGTCTCCCAACTTTTTCGATACTCAAGAACCTGCTCTGAGTGCTATCATTGTTTAAGCCTTGGTAGGCTACTGTCAGATAAGTTGATGCTACATGGATTTCAACAAGCTCGTTTAAAGCCAGCATTTCGTAAATTCTATGGTCGTTATAAAAACCTTGTTAGCAATGATAATCTATCATTGAGTTGTATTTTGGCTGATGTGTTTCACACCAATTATTAGGCCGGTGTGATCGGTCGACAGGGGATGCTAATTCCTCCTAGGCACCTGATCCAACCTCTGGTATTTTCAAGGGTCCATGTTTTATTGTTCGTTATCTTCAATTTTTTCATTCAACAAATGATACCGGAGCTATTTATAGTTTTCTTACCTTTTGGGAAGCAGGAATTATAAGACCTTATGTTTTGATAATTCCCTCAACACTAAAACAGTTAAAATAAATTTCTTCGAAAGGAACAACATTGCATGTAAGTAACGTTGTTATATCTGTCAATCTATTATTTCAGAGTACGTAAATAGTAACAAGTGTGCTAATTTTTATCTGCTTTAGACCATAAAGCACCGCATATAATGAATCACTGTGCTAATTACATGTCTCGGATATTTTCCACTGCACTCGAAAACATATTTATACGTTATTTTCAGCACAGCGTGGACAATGTTAAATCATTTTACATCATAAGCTAATGCTCAGCAAATGTTATGTATTTGATTTCTGCGTATTTTTTGTAACTTTGTGACAAAACGTATATTTGTTACAGACAGGTTGATTTTAAGAAATAATTTAAATTAGAATTACCGTATTTAATGTGTAAAAAAATTGGGGAAAAATTTACAGTGATACTCATTTGAAACACGAGGTTCCAAATAAAGTTAACCTGCTTCGTGAGAAATACTTTAAGAAACTGTATCTATAAAGCATCGTTATAAAACAAAAATACATATGACATTTCAGATTTTATTTAGAGAAACTTTTTCAAGAAGAAATGAAAGGAAAAATTTGCAATGGTTATCATATACTTTTGAAATAAATTAAATGAACATAAAAATGAAACAAACAACACTATTTGACAGTTTCTACTGGTGAACAGTCTCATCAAGAAATGCAAAACAGGGAGACGACCACCCGTCAGCCGCACAGCATTACTAACCAAACACTTGTAAATTACAGGAACTAATGACAGTTCTGTGAATCTTCATTTTAGCCTCAAGCAGGCTGTTCTTGACAAGTCGCTATAGAGTGCTTACAAATCACTCACTCCGCAGAAAGACGACATGGCGGGGTGTCTCCGATTAAGGAGATGGTCCTCCATTTCAGATGTACGTCACCTTCGGTCCATTATTGGGTAAGTGGGATTGGGTAATGAAACAAAAATGTCACAATAAGTAATGAAATTCATGAATATTCACACATCTAATAAACAGTTATCCATGCAGATACAACCAAAAAGAATCGTAAACGGCAGGAATCCTTGGATAATTTGATGACGTCATGATTTTCATAGCGTTAAAACTTCCAAAGGGTAGTGGTATCTCTCACTTGGAACAGCTGTTGCAATAGGAACTCATGAAAGGTAAGCCAACTCTATATCTGCTAATAAAAATACGTTAATATGACGCTGTTATTAAATATTTGTTTCAATACATTAAGTTTTATTTTAGCAAGGACGACGAAGAACAAAATAAAACTAAATACTGTACTTAATGTTTTCTACCTGTAGAATGACGTATGTATTTATTTTTATTTAACGCATATAGTAAAACATTGAATGTTATGACGATATTTGTATTATTTTGGGGGAAAAACAGAAAAAAGATCATAGATAGATTAGATAAAAACAAATTAAAGACTTGGAGAAGAATCTGAAAATTTGAGGATAAATCATTCTATTACCAGATATCGTTTCATAGAAAAAATGTAACTTACTTGTAAAACTATAAATTCTATATATTGATCAAATAAATTGAAGGTACCAATAGAATTGTTGGTTTTATTCATTTCCTCCTAATGTTTTATTGACTTCTTTCTTTTGCATTATGAAATCGTGCATTTAAAAAAAATCATATTGCCGTCTTCATTTATTTGTTTGAGCATGTTTAATAATTAATAATTAGTTTTCGATATTTTAATCAAGAGTCATAAAACTGATTCTTGCTGGTTAGGAAAGTAAATCGAGGAAAATAAAGAAAAGCTTTATTTTCTCAGATGAAGTCAAGTGGTTTACGAATCGAAAATTATTTTTCAAGAAAGTTAATTAGACAGTAGAAGCATCTCTTTGTTACCCCTAAATGGATTGTTTGACTTTGCGATTTTATTTCTCCATACCAGCAATTTTTATTTCCTTTCATTACCCAACTTGAACTAATTTAAATTACTCACATCGCACATAGACTGTAAACAGATAAATAATCCAGAGAAATAAATTTAGGTTCATTTGGCCCTTACTAAATTGATAATTAGTATTAATTTAAAGACGACACAATAGGTCCAGGAAACAAAAATAATTATGTGTCTGTAAATAAGATTAATAAATACATAGAGGAAATAATAATTATTTTATTTTGTTATTGAATAAAACATCTTAATGGACAAACACAGACAAAAGTAATTATGACAAACTGATGTTCTCTACTTTGCATTTTATCGGGGGATCATGCTGTCGTAAAGATCAATTTACCTGACTTTCTTCAGGGTTTCGATTATACCTTCCTATGCTTCCTGTTTTCAAGTCTGATGCCAAAGTATTATTCAGATCAATATGGCTAATTATAGGAAAAAATGTTATTTACCTCCATCCAAGAATGACCAAATAATGACGATTCTTTTTATTCTTAATTATGATTATGTCCTTTCGAAGAACGAAAAGTAACGCCCAGAAACTCCCCCCAGTAAAGAAAGGAAGATACATGTACATATGTAAGATTTGCAATGAATTTAAAGAGAGGCATATTTTTGACAGATATTAGAGTGGTTTTCCTTAACTTCAAAAAATTAAAATAAAACTTAAAATAAAAAAAAATTTAGAATAATAATGATGATAATAAAAAGAATGAAAAAATTTCATCTTTGTTTTACTGAAGAATTCAGATTTTTTAATAAGACTTTGATATCTTTTTTCACAACTTTATGTGAAGTCATGTTATGTGAATCTTGCCACACTCCTTCAAGAACGACCTCAAGTTAAACTTGTTTCATTGAAATCGCTGTATACATAATAGTACTAATGTAAAAACATTTCACATAATTTTTATGTACATTTTAAACACGTTAAATTTTCATATTATCAACTAAAATAAAATCTCAAATACTATGATGTTATCAAGCAAAAGTGTGAAGATTCGTTAACAAATCTTCACACTTTTGCTTGATAACATCATTGTATTTGAGATTTTACTTAAATGTCTATCAAGGCACGAATCTTCCATTGATCACATTTATTTTAGTCTATATATAAACTCATTGAGAGGAAAATATCTGGAAATTATAAAAATACAAAGCCTTTTCGTCCTATCACACTATGGCGTCTTGTGGAAAGAAACTATTTTCTTCACTAATTGTTCTTGAGGGAGAGTGGGTAAAGACTGCGGATCATTTTAATTGATATTGTACTCCCAAGATTCTATATAAAGAGGAAAAAAAAAAGACGTCATATAAGATAACTACTGTTGGATGTTCAACTTTGTCGTTTTCCAAAAACTTCCGTAAAATGCTTGTAACCTCCACACATAGTAGATATTTCTGGGTAAAGTAAAACAGCACCTTTAACCAAAAATGCTCCTAGACAACTAGATTAGAAAGCATGTGTAAATTTAAACATAGAAATCAATGAGTAATATCATTTTACCGTTGTACTGATCTCACCAAATCTCAACTGAGTTTTTCTGATTTATATTTGTCGATCCATCTTTATTTCTCGTTCCATGTATATACTTTTTATTTATGGATTCCATTTAAAAGTTCTTGAATGTTTTCCACGCATGATAAATGAAAAGTTTCAGGTCTTCAGAATTATAATACATGTACTTGGACGTGAACAAACAATATACCGAGTTTTTTTTTTTTTTTTTTTTTTTACTTTTTAATTCTTTCATTTCCACCAAAATTTAATAAACTGTTGAGGATTTGTATGGGTATTTGTGTATATGTAATTTTATTACATTTTCAACAATGAAATACTGTGATTTATTGATTGAATAAAAGTGATATTCTCTCACAGTGTGAAAAGATACCAAAGTGATATTCTTTCACAGTATGAAAGGATATCAAAGTAAATAATTTCTGGCCTGTCATAAAACATAGATATTAACTAAACCGTCTTGATAAAGACTAAAACTGCCAATTCCTTCCCAAATATGTTGCCAAAATCCATGTTGCAATGTTTTCAAGCTAAGCTATGACGTCTCCCACTGCTCAACTATGACGTCACAGTATGTGTCACTGTGTTAAGAAAAGACAGAGGCAGAGGGAAAATCAAAGAAAATGTACTAACAGAAAATTCAATGTTTTGTTGTTGGAATGGAATTTATTTCACTCGAGAGACAGGATTTTCTTTTATATTTCCACTCGTGCTTCGCACGTGAAAATATAAAAAATAATCCTGTCCCACTTGTAAAATAAATTCCATATCCAACTACAAAACATTGCATATCCTCTATTTATCCATTTCAGGTATTATGCAAACAAATTGCGTGTATTTCGTGTTATTGGTGACACTGGTCTGTGTATACACAGTGCTTGGAAATGACTCCTTGTTACCGCCAAGTAGACCGTCCGCCTTCCGGAGTCCGGCACAGCTCCGAAGATACCTGAAAGCCCTTAATGATTATTATGCTATAGTGGGTAGGCCTAGGTAAGAATTCGTTTAGAACAAATGTTTAAGTCTTTTCGCCCAGAATCAGTTAGGTTGTGCCAATGACCATGAAGATACGTATACTATATGTCATACCTAATAATGAAGAAAACATTTTCGGTACTTTTTCTGTATTTTAACTCTTGATTAAAAAAGTATTTAGATGATAGATGTTATTAAATATTAATCGCTAATAGAGACATTCAGTCCTAGATACAATATAATTAAATGAAATGTATCGTAATCACCGTAATGTTTTTCACAATAGATGATCAGTTGGCCTTTCAATAATAAATATTAATAAATATAAATTAAAGGTATCAAGTTTCGATTCAATGATTTGTATTCCGTACTGTATTAAAGGTAGACAGATATCTGCAAAAACGCAGGTAACAAAAAAATGGAAATTTTGAACTCTATAGTCTTTAGTGGAATTTTTAATTTTATGCATTTGTAGAAGACAGAACATAAACATTTTTCTTACGAAGTAATATATTTTGAACACAGAATTATATGTCAAACAAGTAAAGTATCAAAAGTTATGTAGTTTCATGGAAATAGAATTTGCACCGTAATTCACTACTTTCTGTGGCAATAAGATGTTACATATTTTCATTTCATTAAAACCTATCTGGTAACTATTTTTTAAGGGGAAATATCCCTCTTCTCTAAACTTCACCATTTTTTTTTTAAAATTCTCAACCTTGATTTTCATCAACAACAATATCATTAGATTCAACTGGAAAATAGTTTGAAGCATGAAGCTTTGCTTACTTTTTCAGAAATGAATATTATGTCTAATCATGATTTTAAGACAATTTGATATGGTGAATAGAAAGATCAATATTTTTTTTTATCTCACTATAAAATAAAAAATATGAGGTATGAATGAAAATAATATTCACTGTCATATCTATTTGATCCATATTAGAAAACATAATGAAGCGTTGATTTTTAAATCAGAATATCACATTGTTTTCTGTGTTTGTAAGATAAATATGCATCCATCTACATGTACAAGAGTTATCTTTCCATCTACAGGAGCTATCTTTCTTCAAAATATTTTTAAGAGAACAAATATAGGTAATTGATCATAAAAATTCTACGCCTTAAATTCTTATAAAAATTTAAAGAATTATATGTTAAGAGATAGAAATATTTCAATTTTAATAGTTTAAAGGAACTGAGTATAAATGTTTTAGGTAAACTCTTATAAGTAATTGATAAAATATTGGCATCAGAAAATTGAATTCAATATTTGTAACATAATTCAGATTTGATTGAAATGAATATACAATGACCCTCATTATTACACTCTGGTAAGACAAATCATTGGACTGCTTTGAATTATTTCCTTGGACAGTTACTAGTATCTTATCAGAGGGACATTACACCTTAATACAAGTTTTTCGATACTTTTATGTTTCAAAAAACATAATGATATATTTCACGTCGTATTTTTTGGGCAGGTTATTACATCTTTATTCTTTGAAATGAAATATTCCTTTTGTATATCACACAATTGAAAATATTGCTTTTTGTTTGTGAAAAAAAAATTCAGTTTGGCACAACTTAACTGAATTTAGACGTTAAGTATCTTCAACCGCCCAAAAATTTTGAAGTAATGAATTTCTTCTTTTGATAAGAGTGTTCGAAGAATAACCAAAATGAATCAAGCAATTGGAAACAGGAACATTTTCTGTTAAATTCAATTAATAACTTTATTTGTTTGATTATAAACATTTGTAATTTTGAATTGTCACCTGTATATGAACATTTATCTTCATTGACTTTTTTTTTTAAATATAATTTTTTAAAAAAGAATAATTTAGAATGTGTTGTGTATTAATAGATTTGGAAAAAGAAATAACGATTATTCATTAACAGACCAGGATGAAGTTGATGGTATGTTAAAAAAGATTAAAGTTTCGTTTCAATTGAGTATCAATTAAATCATTTGATGAATCAATCAAGCAGTAAGTTTATTACACTCGACTTGAAATGTAATTATTAATATTCTAAGATATCAGTAGTTCTATTTTATTTTTATGTAAGTCCAATGAAAGTCAGATATATAGAATAAATAAAAGTTCATTACCAAAAAAAAAAAGAAAAAAAAAGAAAAAGAAATTTAATAAATCGAAGGTTTACTTTTTTCATTTTCCTTTATGACAGCTTGTGTTGGTTTATAGAACGACTGTTGTACATTAAAATTCGCCAAACTTATAACATTTTAAAAGTACTTTATAAGTAACTTTGCAATGTCACAATTTGTATCGTATTATTTAGAAGAAACGGGGCGCAAGTACTTTTGAATAGTAAAAATCGAAATACATATTAAATTATTCTCAATAAAATGCAAAGCTTTATTGATTTAACGATTTTGATTAATGAGGAGGCATAAACATTTTCCGTGCAATTAGTCAGCAATTATATTTTTTTAGTTACAGACAGACCATGAACCGAATTAGAGTTGAATAAAATTTTATGAACATTATTTTGATCTGAAAGATTAGTTTAAAATCATCTTCCAGTTTCGATCTTAGAGCACTATCCTTGTATTTTATACTTGACTTTAAAATAATCGTTTCGTATGAAATAAAACATTTGTTATAATTCAATTAAATTGCTTCAAAAGAATAACATAAGATATACCGCAATATTTCCAAATATTATACTGTTACAGAAAGATTGCTGTTTTAAACCAGAATCACCATATTCAAATAATGAAGCATCTTTTTTCTTTCAGGATTTTTATATTCGAGTCGAGACAAGCCAGATATTTTAGGACCACAATGGTGGTAATGGTTTATACCACATTCCAAGGGGATTATTACTGCTTTAACAGTGTATTCGTATGAACTGATGTACATATCAGTGTTCAGATTTATTTTTTGAATAAAGACCGAAATATTGCTCTGAAAACACAATACTCTTAATATTAACAGTTTTATGACAATATGTGTTATCAAAATCATTTAATTAATTCATTACATGTGTGTGTATACGAGATTAATTAAATAAAATGTAAAAACTTGTTATAATTGGTTTTCTTTCCTTAGATTATTGATTTTACATAATGAGCCTTTCTCCATTATGCATCAACCAACTGTTATCTAAAAGAAAATGTCCGGGTGACCTTTTCATTATTAGACCTTTTGAATACATGGAGCCCAAGTTCTGTTTGGAAGCGAAACACATTGCTTAAGAGGCTGCAAGGGATTTAAAAGCATTTCGTATAGGTATTAATCAAAATACATGCAATCAGCAACAAACACCCATAAGTTTACACATGGCATATCTCAAAAGTTGATTATGGTTGAATTGAATAGTATTTTTAGGATTTGGAGTAGTAATCATACCCTGTTGACTGGTCACACCCGCCGTGAACCCGTTAAATTAATCAGGTAAATGGAACATTCCACAGTCAAATTTAGTATAAGAACAAAGGTTTAACAATTGGTATGAAAAAACATCAGCCAAAATTCGACTAAAGATAGGATATTTTTGCTAACAAGGTCATAACAAGGACCATAGAATTTACGAAATGCTGACTTTAAGCAAGGTTGTTGAAATCCCTGTAACATCAACTTATCTGTCAGAAGCCTGCCTCGGTTTAAAAATTGATCGTACTCAGAGTACGTGTATGCTCTTGAGTATCGAATAAACTTGGAGAGACGTAAACACCATATGCAGATGATAATAAAATATGGAGATAACGAACAGTATTCAAGCTCAAAGTCCATAAAAACAATACCAATCGGGAGTAGAGCAAACACTGACCTCCATAATTATATCAGAGGTGGGATCAGGTGCCATGGAGGAGTGAGCATCCTCTGTCGACCGGTCATACCCGCCTTGTGCTTCTTGTCATGATCGGGAAAACGGAAAATTCCGTAGACAATTTAGTAATGAAATTAAATAATGGCCTAACAATATAGTATGAAAAACATCAACCAGCATTTGACATAATGATAGGTTGTATTTGCTGACAAGGTCATTGTATCGACCATAAAACTTACGAAATCATTACTTCAAACGAGACTGTTGATATCCTTGTTTCATCAACTTGTTTGTCAATAACTTGCCTCTTTTAAGATATTGTTCATACGTAGAGCATGCTCTTGCATATCGAATCAACTGGGAGAAAATCCCATATGCAGGTGATAAGGGCAAATTGCTACATAAGTAAGGGAAGTTGACGATTGAAAAGTTGGAAGTCATCACGTTTATCATAAACTTTGTTGTTAGATTACCGTTAACGTCTTTTTCTAGTAAAATATCCAAATATGAAACAGATGTGTCAGAATCTGTGGTATCTTTTATTTCAAGCTCACTGGGATATATCGTGTCGACATATGAATGGAAGTAACTTTTGTTAATTGATAATACGTCGTCGATATATTTAAATGTCATGTTGAAGGCCACAGCAAGTGTTTTTTTATTCTACTCATGTAGAAGTTTTTGAATAAATTCTGCTTCATATGAATACAAAAATTAGTCTGCTAACAACATGGTGCAATTGGTACCCATGGGAATTCCAATAGATTGTTGGAAGACCTGGTCTCTAAAAACCACATTTATATTGTCAATCAGAATCTCACGCATCTTTTTAATATCAACTTCAGAGTACTTGTATGTACAATCAGAATTAACAAAATAATTTTGCAAATGACCAATGACAAGGTAAATAAATTTACGAGTTCCATTTTTATTGAAAAAGCAGCTGTCAATAATTTCAAAGAGCCTGGACTTTAATTTATCGTGGGGAATGGCTGTATACAGAGTTGAAAAGTTGTAAGATTTTATGTTGTTGATTTTGGTAAAATTTTGTGATTTCAAATTTTCCAAAAGTTCCTTGGAGTTTTTAAGTATCTACATCTGATTTAGAACACTTCTCGAAAATATTGTTGCACAGTACTCCTAGTAGAACATTTACTGGAACTCGTTGTATCTTTGGTTGTAAAGATTTTTATGAAGTTTTGGAATCCAGTATAGGTATGGTAATTCAAATTCATTTTGATTGTTTGGAATATTAAAAATATTTAAAACTGACATATGGTTTTGAAGAATTTCCTCCTTAGAAAAGGAGCTATGAGTATAAGTTGGATTACCACTTGCAGAATTAAATCCTAGTTCCTCTAAAATACAATTCAAATAATGAGCCTTACAAATGAAGACAATATTGTTACCTGTTTTGTCAGCCAGGACCAGTACACACTGATCGTGTAATCTATCTAATTCTTGTTTCACTTCTGCATTATCCAAGACAGGAGGATAGATGGTTTTCATACTGCCCCTCAATTGCGTTATGCGCGATTTCAACATCCATCTAATACACTTATTCCATTCTGACAAAGTGTCAAGTTCTTCTTAGTAATATCACTAAATTACTACGGAATATTACCACCTAAATAATAAAGCTGACGATGGAAAAGTAGAAGTCATCTTTGTTTGTCGTGCAATTTAGTTCTTAGTTGGCCATCATTGTCTATAGTCAGTATAACATCCAAATATGAAACAGGTGTGACAAACGCTGCGGTGTCTTTTATTTCAAGTTCTCTGGGATATATCAAGTCGATAAATGAATGGAAGTAATTATTGATAATTGATAAAACGTCGTCGATATATCTGAATGTCGAATTGAAGGCCACAACAAGAAGGCTTTTCCCTCTTCTCATGTAGAAGTTTTTGAATAAATTCTGCTTCATAAAAATATTTAAAAAAAACCAGACTGGCTAAAAAAAGAGCACAATAAGTGCCCATCGAAATTCCTGGTCTCCGAAGAGTACATATTTGCATAAATGTTGTCAATGAGGAACTCTATCATCCTTTTAATATCAAGTTCAGAGTACTTGTGTGTAGAATCAGAGTGATTTTTAACGAAGTCAAAGTCTAGTATTATAAACCAAGAGGCCATTTGGCTAAAATGCTCACCTGAGCTTAACTGAAAATACAGCGATGGTATATTGGTCTCATTAAATCTTTATACATATAAGGACACGTCGTTCTGGGTAATGTGTCAAATAAAATGATTTGTCTTTTATGATAAATTGACAACATTAAATTCCTTCAATCTACAGTATGTGGAAATGCTTTCATATTGATTTGACTAATGTATCATTGTTTTGAAGTTTTTTTAAAAAAAATAATTTTCCCCTTATACATTTCCAGAGAGATAGAGATCGAGAGGAGTTATAACTCCTACATGTTAAAAGATCAAAAGAGCGTAAGGACGTTAACCGAAGCCCCTACGTGTAAGAGTAGCTCAATTCGTTGCTGTTGACAGGCACAGTCATTTCTAAACATTCTAGAATGTTAGTGTCATTATGTTTCTTTAATTGACTGTTGAAATTAATGACACCAAAATAGTATATAACACATCAAGCAGTGAACCTTATACATAAAATAATCTCGTGATAATTTGCTCTGTCATTTCTAAATACACTAATCAATCTTGTCGCATTTTGAAAAAAAAATATTATTTTAGTTATGCAAATCATCTTTATAGTGCCTTTTGAGGAATGTGCTTGACGACAGTCACCTCTTCTCCCTCGTTTTCTAGATTAGTCCCTAGTGTCTTCTCAACTTTGTTTTCAGAAATTATCTATGTTAGTTTACAATGTTTTCCATAAAGCCCTCCCCCTATAAAAAGACTGAAAATATTGTACAAGAATGTAATTGTTTAAAAATCAGCAATATATATATATATATACGAGGGGTTATCAAAAAGTTCGTGGACTGACGCGATAAAATTAATAATATGTAGTCTTTGCTTACAAAATTTATGCGGAACATAAAACAACAAAAGTTTAAGAAATGTTGAAAATTTTAGCTTGATACGTTGATAATTTGCCAAATTATTCTGAAATTAAAAAGACTTTATGTGATCACCCGGCGCTGTGGCTGTTTAGTGTCATGACGTCCGCTTAACGTCATTGTTTCTTAATGTCCTCTCTCTCTACCTCATACACTTATCTTGATGAGATTACCTGGAGTTAAGTAAGGACTTAAACCCGTCTTATTTATATGAATTTAAAATGTCATGAGCAGCTGTTTTCAATGCATATAATATTGTAAATAGATCTTTATATGGGGAAAGATCCTCACTTGATTATGCCAGAATACTTAGCTTGTTGGAGTTCAATTTCTACCACACATGTTCAACGTCACTTTTCGACGTGACTGACTTTTGACACCCTGACTACAAATCGACACTAACTGTCTTTTTGGGCATTAAAAAACAAGTACTCTGGATGCATTTTATTTTTCTGTAGCCAGTTTAACATTCCTTAGGTCAATACCAGTTTTTCCAGGAGCGAAACTATATAGAGTGTTTGAAAAAGAAACCCCTCCCTCCTTTTGACGTTATTTTCAAGCCCATAATTGTTTGGACACTCCATATAAAATTTACGATAAAATTTCATAGAAATTACAGAATGGGGTAAAAACTGCAAATTTTACTGAACAAATGTGTCGTACCACATGCCTGAATTAAGGAGATTTTTTGATGATAAATACTCATATCTAAAGATTTTTTCGCAGTTACACTCAGGTAGAAAAAAACGTCATATGAGAGGTTGCGCCGCCTGGACATACCTTTGCTTACAAAAACACTAACAATTTATTAAAAAATAAAAATTATGATTTATGGTTTATTCTATAGATAGAAAAGATGATGCTAACTTAATGTGTAAAAATTCATTGATGTACCTAAAGCGGTTTTAATTTTATGACGCTAGTCCACGAACTTTTTGATAACCCCTCGCATATATATATATATATATATATATATATATATATATATATATATATATATATATATATATATATATATATATATATATATATAAAATGATAATGCGGATTAAAATTACAATTTAGCAGCATAACTATTTATGCTGAAACATAATTTGGAGCCATACACTCGTATTACTTTTAGAAAATATGTAAGGTTTAAAAGTCCTTTTGATGCCATTGTAAAAGTCATCGTGAAATA